GCACGAGCCCTTGATAGTTTATAAATGGGTATTTTGTCATATCTTGCCCTGTCCACCCACTTTATAACTTTTAATATGCTGTTGGATGATGTTGTAAGGCAGAAAGAAGATCCCAAATCTCATATACAATTATGGAGGCACTCTCATGAAGTCTTTAACAGGACAAAGGCAAAGAAAATTCATTAAGAAGAGGGACCCCATCAGCACAATACCATAATGGTGTCCAAGGATTTATAGAAAACTGGATGCTTAAACAGGACATGTGATTATATTAAGGAAATAGTCACAAAGGTGTGGCTGGCAGCAGAGCTGCAGGATCAACTATAGAAGCAGGAATGGGACCATGATTAGGACATGGTACATTATGCTAGGTAGAAGGGCTTACAAAATTGGTTCAGGGGCTCTCCAAACAAAGAAGTCAGGATATGATTCATGACTGTGACCCACCCCAGTCAACTCCCTAAGGGCTAGACTGCCCCTCCTTGGATTAGCTAGGGAAGTGATGTTAATCCACTTGCCTGAGTGCAAGGCTAGTCACATTTCATATTAAAAGGCCAGACAGAATTTAATGGAAGATGAATCTATGTGCATAGTGAAAATGGACTTAGGACATTCACTGTAAAGTGTAGCATTCTGGAAACTGAATGCTTAGAATTTAAAGTGTGATATATTTTATTGAGGATTTTTGTCTATATTTATATTGGTCTCTATATTTTTTCTTATGATGTCATTATCTGAATTTGGTATCAAGGTAATATTGACTTCATAGAATGAATCAGGAAATGTTCTCTCCTCTACTATTTTTGACAAACATTTTTTCTAAGTAAAAAAATGTTTGGTGGAATTCACTAATTAAGTCTTCACTAATACTGAGATGTTCTTTTTCTTTTGTTTTAAAACAGCTCCCTTGCACAGCCATTCTAAAAGTCCTACCTACTTTCTTAAAATCTTTCCAGGGGAAGAAAAATTTTTAAGAGGAAATCTCCACTAGAACTCAGACTTGTTATGGATCGAACCGCATCAGGAAAAACAACAACAAAACCAGTGCTGTAAATCACAACCCCTTTGCCTGTGGTTATAGTTCCATGTGAGCATGGATTTTTGTTATGTCAAAAAGGCAGTGTTAGTGTATGCTGTGTCTCTTTCGA